TCACACCATTCCAAAAAGATTTCTTATAATAACATCATCACCATTTCAAAAAGAGTTTCTAATAATGTGTACCATTTTACAGTCATCATGACACTATTTCCTACTTATTTTATATGGCTTTGGCACTTACATGGAATTACATATCTCTAACATAACATTGGTTTCAACATTGGTAAGTCAATGGAACAATATGATTGAAATATCATCATTTTATTATGATAAGCTTTATTATTTTTTATTTTTTATTTTTTATAGAAGTTTTTCAAATAATTTCAAATAAACAATAAATTTATGATACTAAATTCAAAATCTCTATGGTACGAGTTAAAAAGTGGGAAGAAGTTTGATTAGTAAACTAGAAGGTTTGGTAATTGTATTATAAAATTTTGAGGTATTGAAAGATACTAAAGATGTATGTTATTTCAATTGAGATTTTAGTAATCTCCTATGAGAATTATGTTGTGTGAAATTTTTTATTACGATTGTATTGTGTAATTTATCATTAATTACTGATTTTTATTTTTATTATTTTTGTTTTTATATGATAACTTATGCCTTCAGAGTACGAGCTTAAAACTGGAGAGATCACCATTGTTAGTTATTACGAGGAGGAGAGAGGGTTTAACCTAGATGATTTTTTTAATCAGGGATAGGGTAGACAAAAACACACACGAAAAAAGATTTTTGAAAAAATCTGACGTAAACTATTTCCATTTCTTTATAATCTATATTTTCTTGTAAAATATTGTCACGTAATAGATTTTGATGTACCCAAACCCCCTTGAATGAATTTAGAAAACCAAAAACAAAAAATGTTTGAGTAAAAGAGACGTGACTAGTTTGTATTTGGCCGAGACAAATATTTGTGCGATGTTAAGACGGCACTTGGTTAGTAAACTTTGAAAAGAAATAAAATATTCAGTTTAATCAACTCATAAATTAATATTAATGCTTTGTTGTTACTTAAGAGAAATATATCCGATTGTAGATTGAAAATAATGACAAAGGAGAATAAAATAAGGCGAATTTTCAAAATCTACTTAAATTTTTAAATGATATGAATCAACATAAAAATTCACTATTTTGTATGTAAAAAAAAGTTTCACATGCCTTTATATTTTACGCTCGTCATCTTTTTCATCAAAAACTTTTTACTTTCTGCACTTGGAGCGTCGACCAATTTTTTTTTTTTCTTTTTTTGATAAATATTTAAGGATTTATTGATAGGAAAAATTACAAGGGAGCAATTACATCATCCGACCATAAGAAGAGAAGGCAAGGATACGCCAATTTCTTTTTTTCAAGTTCTGACATTTTAAGGAAACCCAAAATGGGTTCAGTAAATGAAGAGCAAGATCCATATTTCATTAAAAAAATTAAATATTATCCGCGTGTAATTTAGCTATTTTTTTACATATGAAATGATTTTGTGCTCCTCAGGGGGTGAACTGTGTATTTACTCCTTCACGCAAAACCAAAAGCTAGGGATATTTTTATGACCTTGCGTATGTATCCTCTTCAGCACATGACCAACTCAAAAAGGAAAAACGTCTGAAGGTACTTCCTAAAATCATAAACAAATAATGACCTAAAATTGACAGTAGACCTTCCAATATTTCGACAATTAGATCTAAGTGTCAATAAACTCAACATATTTTTTCCTTCAACATAATCATTTGATGATTATCACAAATTTTCAAGAAATCTCTATAAGTAGGTTTTCCACCAGAAACAAGTGGACGCTATGCTTCCCATACACATTAATGCTTTAGGGTCATGTATTAAACCTAAATCTTTTTAGTGAAAGACAGGTCGGACACTTTTTGATCTTCCAACGAATATGATCGATTTGGGCACTCAACCCCATCTTAACTTGGAAAAAAATAGAAGAAGATGAGTACTTAACTTTGTTTTGGATAAATGTTTTTGACACAAAAAAGGGAATTAGACATAAAATATAAATCATATCATCATCATCTGATCATTTTTCTAACTATTTGGGATCGGTTACACGAAAAAGCACTTACTCTAACCATATCCTTTTGACCAAATCCCTTAACTTTTTTTAGCTTTCTATTTGAACCAACTCGCACTTCTTGATAAGTGTTGTAATAGGTTTGTGCTGCTACTGTCTCTCATCTTATTACCTATTGGAACCAAACCTAAATTTTCTTTAATGTAATCATTTCGACTTCTATCATTTTTTATCTTACCACTCACCCATCTCAGCATACTTTGGGTATGTTGTTTCTTGACCACCAACATTTCGCCTCATAAAAGCAAAGCCAGTCTCACATCTGTCCTATAGAACTTCCCCTTCAGCTTCATTGGTATGCGACGATCACCTAAATTATGGTTGTACATCTCCACTTTGCCCACCCAGCTCTAATTCTATGAGCGATTATTCCTCAATCTCTCTATTTTTCTAGATTATTGACTCAAGATATCGAAAAAGCGATCTTTTCGGCATTTTTTGACCATCAATCTTAACTACTTCATTGTCTCTACTCTTATAATTACTAAAGTTGCATTTCATGTATTATGTTCTAGTCTAGCTATTTTTAAAACCTTTAAATTCTAGAGCATCCTTCCAAAGTTCTAACTTTTTGTTGACACCACTGCAAGTCTCATTAATCGAAACTATGTGTCTATGAACAACATACATGACAGTACCTCATATTGTAGGTGTCTAATTAAGTCATCCATAAAGACAAAGAGGTATAAACTCAACGTTGACTCGTGATGTAGACGTATTGTCACCAGAAACTTACTTGTCTCTCCACTAGTTGTTCACACGCTAGTTTGTGCTCCCTCATCATATCTCTCACCAAGTTGATAATAAGTATATGGAGACTTCTTCTTCTTTTTTTTTTCCAGCACCTTCATATAAAACTATTTTTTAATTCCCAATAATGGAATGGATCGTTTACATTAAATTTTAAAAAGATTTTTTTTTAAAATACATATAAAGTCAATAATTTAATACTTTATATTTTTCAACTATTTCAACTCACATTCGCGTATATTTGGATATTTTGATGGGTATTTTGGAAAACTTTCCCTTTGGTGAATAACAAGTGCACAATCCGAAAAACTTTCCAAATGAATCAAAATATATCTTAAGAATTCACATTTTAAACATAGTTTTTTGTTTTTAACATAAGCAAATGCTCAATATGATTGTATTCATGCCTAAGAGAGAGACTGGCAGAGAAGATACAAGCAGAGCATTTGTATCAGTTTAGAGAGAGAGAGGTGCGGGAGATAGGTAGGTGGCATTTGTATTATTATTAGTTTGGTGCGATTTACATAGAGCCAAGGCTCTAAACAATCAAAATAAATTGCACCTTCAAATAGTATCGAGGAATGTAATTTCGGTACTAGAAATCTTTGTAATAGTCTTAACTCTTAAGATATATTTTCATCTTTAATTATAAAATTTAAAGCTTAAAAAATAGTATAGATCGGGCAGATCTATGAACTTGAAAAGCCCAAAAATTAACGGTTCAAAAAATGTGTTACAAGATGCACTATTTTCAAAAATTGAAATCCATTTTTTCCTCATGTCTATGCATCTTGATGTCAAGATGATCAATTTGAAGGCATTTGGGCATCAAAACAACCTATTCTAGTGGAATTTTTGATGTGGGCTCTAATTTGATTGTTTAGAGCCTCAGCTCTATATCTAACTTTTTCCTTATTAGTTTACGTCTAAAAAAATGTGGAGTAATTGATTAGAGTTGTTGGTGGCTATTGGAAAAGACGTGCTCAAGTCACGCCCACGCTCAATATGTGGGTAAGAAGCAGTCGCCTTTTGAAAATATCAAAACCCTAAGACGTGATCAAAGACATTAAGTTATCCATTTTTGTATATTTAGTCAAGAGAGAGAGAGAGTTTGAGAGAGAGAGAGAAAGAGTTAGAGAGAGAGAGATTTGTTTGACTGTTTATTGGGATGACATTTTACATATCATGTGACAGATAGTAGCAAAATTAAACCGTTGACGAGCTCTCTTTGTTACTGAGGGAGCACACTACGTTTACTCCCTATAATATAAGGTTTATTTGAATTTTTTTTTTGATATAAAATTTTAAGAACCACCTAAGAATAGTTAGATGATTATTTTTTAAAAGAAAAATTTGGATGCTGAGTTGTCTAATACTTAGATCTCATCTTCCAAAAACTAGAGTCACTTTTCAATCTTGAGACTTTTTTTTTCCAAGCACAGGGAGAGTACAATATGAAGATTCTATTTTATTATTCTATAGGTTAAAATGGTTAAATCCAAAAAAATTAGCATCTTTGGAGAGAGTCATTGGGTTTTTATCCGAAGCAGTAAATAGACAGTATGCTTAAGCGCGAGCACAAAGTTTATTGGGTTGGTTAAAAGGGGCGGGAAACACTCATAAAATTAAGAAAAAAGAAGAAGTTTATATAGAGCCGAGGCCCTAAACAATCAAATTATATTCCACCTCAAAAACTTCACTAGAACAGGTTGTTTGATTCCCAAATATCCTAAAATTGATCATCTCGACATCAGGATGCATGGACATGAGAAAAAGATAGATTTCAAGTTTTCGAAATAGTACATCTTATAACTTATTTTTGGACCGTCAATTTTTAAAATTTTCACTTTTCTATAAATCTACTTGATCTACTCTTTAAATATAATAATTAAAGATGAAAATATATTTTAAAGTTATTACGAAGATTTTAAGTATTGAAACTATATTTCTCGACACTATTTGAAGGGGGCTCTACCTTGATTGTTTAGAGCCTCGGCTCTATACAACCTAAAAAATGATATTGGACGCGGTAATAAGGCGAAATTTCATCGCAGTTACATTCTTGGACGTGATGACGTGGTATCTTTGGGTCAATGTCAGGCTTTGAAGTTTGAAAAGAAGATAAAGTATTTCAAATTTGAAAAAACTACAACACGCAGGCGCAATGGAGGGAAAAACAGAGTAAAAAATTAAAAATAAAAAGGCGGTTCTGAAACTTTCTCCTCTCTCTCTCTCAAACCTTCTCTCCTGTCTCTCTCTATCTCTTTCTCTCTCTAAAGCACTTCTCTTAACCTCGTACCTGAATTCTCTCCTTGTTTGCTCTCTCTCTCTCTCTCTCTCTCTCCATAGGCTTAAGAGCTGTAATTGAGTAGTTTTTTTCGTATTCTCCCCCTTTCTCCTTGATTATTCTTATTCGTCTTCTACTCAATCTGTAACTTGAATTCCAATTTTTGAATTACTATTGACAAGCCCTTTCTTTGGTTTGGCATCAAATCTAGCTGGAATTACCAATTGGTTGTAGGCTTGAAGCAAGAGATTGAACAGGTGAGCCAGATTCTCTGCTAAAGGTGAAACCCTCTCTAAATTGTTTTAGTGAAACGAAGGGTTGCATATGTATTAATTTGGTTGTGATCTTGTTGCCAGAAAATCCTTCAGTGTTTCAGTACGCGGACTCGCAACTCAGCCCCTGCTGGAAATGATTAAAAGCACCTAATCTTTGTTAGAAAAAATATCTTAGCTAGATGATTTTAGAAATACATATTTGTTTCATTTATATGGTTTTTATGGTGATTTTGTAAGTTTTCCCTCAACATGATCCTATTTTTTATTTACTGTTCTGAATATTTCAGGGTATAAATCGCAATTTTCAATAATCCATCTTTTATGTACATTTTTAATTATTTTTAACAATTTTTTTACTTTTTTTTTTAAAAAAAAAGAAACTTTTTTTATCTTGTACACTACTCGGTCAAATCCAAGAGCCAGCCTCTTTTGAATTCAATCTGAACAGAGACCCTCATCTTCTGCAAAATTGAACAGGAAAAAATTGAGTTTGTGTTCATATTATTGTTGCAGAACTGAAACATTGGGCAAAATTGGTTCGATCTATTGCATAAATTTGAAGAAGGTCATTCTTAGTACAGTCGAGTTGGAAATGGAAAACCATTGGAAACTATTTCAATTCTGGTCCTATGGTGTCTTCTTTGTTGCACTATTTCAAATGAAGTTGGAGGTTTGCTGGTCCCTGAATCCTGAAGGTATGGTTGCCAAATGATTGTTTGAATCATTGTGAATTCTGTATGTTTGTTTCTTTCTTTAATTGTTTCTGTTTTCCTGGCCATACAATATGCATTTGGATTGCTTAATAAATGTCTAAATGTTGTAAGATGTATAAGGCTTTTTACCCACTTGAATACTACAAAATACAAATGAAAGTGTGATGCCATTTATAGCGATTTTGATCCATTCATTAAGATCCATGAAGCATTAATGCCTTTTATTTTTGCATGTTCATGAGACATTTTGTTCATGGGGATACAGTTAGGAAACTTTAGTTTTGTATGCAATTGTGTAATTTGTTTGGATTGGAGCGATGCAAGATAAGCCTTTGGGTTTTCACAGTCTCCATGCAAGAAATCATGTCCCATTATGGGATGGTACTAGTCAAGTCCCAAACAAAATTCACATAATGAACATTCTTTTTAACTAAAGATTTAACAATAGTATGTTGTGATACATGCGCTTAGAAGCATTCTCCCCAATGTTTATGGGCTTTCTTTTTTCTTGTAATATATATTTGTCAGTTACATATGCAATCCGATTGTTGCTTTCATAGTTGGAGTATAAATATCCTTTGCCTCCTTGATGGGTTGTACTTTATGCTTCGGTTTATTCAAATTCAGCCATTATTAGTGAAAAGCAGTCCTGGGAGTTCTTGAGTTTTTCAAGGTGATGGAAATATATTGAATCACGACTAAGATGAATAGGAGCATGGCAATCATATGGTTCACAGATGAGTCATATGTCACTGTCCTTTCTTTTGGTACACAATATATCGGTATTTTATATAGAGTATTCAATTACTACTGTAACATTTATATGCATCTCTTAAATAGATTATTTAATTATTAGTGCAACATAGCTTATTCAGTTATTAGTGCAACATATATTTTCATGCTACAATTTGTATATTGCAGTCAAGTTCAATGATGTCAGTTTTTCATTTAAAGTATTATGTTCCCACAACGTAATGCATTTCGTACTGGCACATTACCCTATGATTGAACTCTAGGCAATCAGTTTGTTTTTCTAACTCATTTCTGTGTAATTTAGCTAAGATTGTTTTGTTTACTTTTAAATATGGATACTTTTGTCATCAGTAAGCAATTGATTTGTTCTTCCTAAGTTCCTCTTAGTTATTATGAAGTCATGGAGTACTAGATAGTTATCTATTGATCCAAATACAGGATTCGCTTTGCTGAAATTTCATGAGAGAGTGGAGACAGATCCGTATAATATGTTACTTAGTTGGAACGGCAATGCTGATGATCCATGCACGTGGTTTGGAGTTCTGTGCTTGGATGGCAATATAGTCATGCTGTAAGTAATGCGTGCCCTCTAATTCCTTTAGCTTGCACTTTGAACATTTATATTTAGTTGTTCCATCAACTCAAAGTGAAAATTTCAAAGTACCTAGGTTAGATTTTCTAACGGTACAAATTCTTCCATCTGATCCCTTTCATAGAAGCATTTAAGCACTTACTTATGATGATTTGTTTTGATTAAAGCAAATGTGAACTAGCTAGTAAATTAGGAAATTAGTACTACCTCAGTGAAGAAGGGTCTACTTTTTATCAAAAACAAAAATTTTCATAAAATGTTATTGCTTTTCTTCTTCATTGAGAGATAGCATGATTTGACATTTTGATCAGTGAGGTTAGGTTTGATGTGGATACTTTGGATATTGTAAGTGTAGTACATGCGTCTGACAATTGTATGATATTGTTCTAGCTCTATATGTTATTGTTCAATTTTTGACATGCCATTGTATGCATGACCATTATAAATTCTTTGCCATGAAGTATTGTACTACAAAACAGTACACATTTAGTTCCAATATAATAATCTCTAATTTAGATTATTTCAACCAAGACTGAAGGCTAATCATCTCCTCAGTTCACTTCTTAACTTGTTAGGAAAAGATTCTCCAAACCATTCCAATTAGGATATTTTTCATTTTCCCATGCTCTGAACTTTTATTCTTTGCCTCCTCTCAAAACCATCGTTCTTTAGTCTGTTTATCAATAATTGTTTCTTTCCCCAAACTCTTAAACCAAATCCTGTTTATCCCAAATTCTGGCCCTCTCCTGAAATTGTCATACTAGTATCTTGACTAGGTTGAAACATTTTATTGGGAAGTTCGAATTGTGGAGAAATTGAAAAGTGGTTTTATTAATTTTCGTTTTCTTCTATATTTGTTATTTCATTATTTGAAACCACTTCACAATTGCAACCTTGCAAGTTATACATATGTGAATGGCATACCTGCTTCCAAAACTAATTTCCCCTTGGTGATTCCTAATGGAAAATCATGTTTTTTGTTTACTCTGGCTTCTGATCTCATGAGCATTTTTCAATCATTATGTTAACTATGTGATGTAGGAAAACTCTAAGAAACATAGAAAAATCAGCAAGAAGCACCTTGACACAAGCAATTTTGGAGAAATCCTAAGGCTTTCTCCCACCTAGGGCTCAAGCCTTAGGCTTCTTTTACAAGACAAAATTTTTCTTTTCTTAAAGAGGAGTACATGAATGACTTTCAGCCCATTCATGCTCTTATTTATATTGACAAATTATTGTTTTGAGCAATATTTATCCATACAATTAACCTTTGACTAAAATGTCTTAACTTAAATGTAATTTTCGTAGTGACGGTTTTACCCCTGTGAATAGTACCCATGAACAATACTTGTGAATAGTACTCATGAAACAAATAAAAAAAATCTATAAAAGCCTCATAATTTCTAAAAACTAAAAACTCTATAAATAAACCCTAAAACTAAAGTTATAACACACGACCTTTAAAGTTGAATAAAAATAAAGAATAGGAACAATTTTTTCCTCCATCATTCTCCTCTGGTTGGAGAAAACTCGTCCTCGAGTTTTGAAGTGTGTTAAGATAAAATTGGTGTTAACCCATCAACATTTTTCAACTCGAATATTGTAAACATGATCATAAGATTTGTGGGTTACAATTTTGATCAAAACACGAAGATTGTGCATTGGAACTGAGAAACCTTCGGGAAAAGGGTCATTGTATGTCGGTAGAATATTTTTAATCACATAAACTTATTGAAATTGCATCATGTTAGCCATGCAACGTTGCTGAATTTGCTCAGGCTTAGCTCTAGGACACACCACAAGTGTATCTTTGAGATCAGCGATTAAACCAACAACTTCATCCTCTTTCGAAATATCTTCACCATAATCATGATCCTTATCATCAGTGTTTCAAAAAGCGCTAGGCAGGTCCTAGGCGGCTTGGGGGGGTCTAGGCCGCTCAGTGCCTAGGTGGCCCAGTTGAAACAAAAAAGACTCTATAGTCTCTAACAGTATATATAGTGTATAAAATATAAGCATTAGGTATTTAGGGCACATTAAAATTCAAAAGTTTACTACATAGTAGCGGCCCAGTTGAAACAAAAAAGGACTCTATAGTCTCTAACAGTATATATAGTGTATAAAATATAAGCATTAGGTATTTAGGGCACATCAAAATTCAAAAGTATACTACATAGTAGCACACACTCCATAAGCATAACCATAAGTTGGTCCATATCCAATTAAAACTTAAAATTTACCAACCAAATTACCAAACCAAAGTTACTAAATACCAAACCAGTGGTACTACAAATCCACTATCCAGAATACATAACCAAGAGAAAGAAAACAAAAATAAAAGTAATACTTGAAGACTTAAAAGAATCTTCAATCAATGCTCAAAGTTTAATCATCATTCATCATCAGAAAAAGTAGGATCAGTTGTATTTGCATCATATGCATCAGAGTCGTCACCCTCCTCGACATATTGGTCCTCTTCCTTCGTTTCTTCTGAATCTACCTCTTCTTCCTCCTCTTACTCCACCGTCGTCCTCTATGCAGAAGATCTAGTAGCCTTAAGAGGGTCAGCTGATGTCCTTGAAGCATCCATTACCATGTCCCATGTCAATCCTTCATGCCCTTCAACCTCATCATCATCAACCAACCACTCCATAGCATTATCTATATTTTTTGATCTGAGGGGGTCTCTCTTATCTCTCTTAGCGAACCTGTCCTTCAAGAATCGACTATACTTGACATAGACTAGGTCATTGAGCCTCTTTGATTCAAGCTTGTTCATTTTCTTTGTATGAATCTAACAAAATCAAATGAAACTAATTAATATAAATTTTAAATAATTAAAATTATTAAATATATATTAGTAATACTACAAAACAATCAAAACTAATAAGTAATTAACTACTAGAGTACTAAATTACTAATAAAATTATACAAATTACCCTTACCTTTTCAAAAGTACTCCAATTATGCTCACAATCGGACGAGGAAGTGATTAGGTTTAAGATCTGAATGGCCAACTTTTATAAATTTGGAGAACTACACCCATGTTGGCTCCACCAATTGGCTGCAAAGATATAGAACAAAATCATAAATAAATAATAGAATAATAAAAATGAAACTTGATTAACTGAACTTGATGAACTTAAGCATATTATTACTACCTAGATCTACTTTGGTCTTTTGCCTTATCGTCATTGGACTTCTAAAAGACTTTAATGAGCACTTGTAATTTATCAGCTCATTAGCACATATAATATCTTCGATATTCGGTTCTCATCATCATCAAAATTTTGGGTTTTCTCTCTTTTGCATTTCTCCATAGCCTCATATATGTATTCCATAGAAGCCTTGTCACTATCAACCATTCGAAGGATTGACAAGAGGAGAAAATACCTTAAGAGCGCTCTTCACCCCTCGCCAAAAAGCTTTAAAGGGTAATATCTCTCACCTTCTTTCAAACTTGATCCTTGAACCACTTGCATGCTCTCCAGTCATCCGAGGTAAACATCTTCCCCAACTGCACTCTCCTCGAATGTATGCTATCTAGGCATAAGTATCAAGTCACAAATCTTGTGACCCCAGGCCTCACAATCTCTTTTTTTTTTTGTAAATCTACGCATCATGTTGAGGGTAAGATGATGGCTATAAATGAAATTCGTAACTAACTTTACCTTCTTTACTGCACCTGCTATCTCAGTTAAACTGGCAAGAGCCTCATGCATGAGGTCTATACAATGTGCGGCACATGGTATCCACAAGATTTTAGGATAAGCTATGTGCAACAAATTAGCAGCAGCAACATTAGGAGCAGCATTGTTTGTGACAACCTATACAAAAATATGCTCCCCAACCTCGTTGATTCCCTTCTCTATAACTTGGAATATGTAATGGGCATCATGGATATAATCAGATGCATCAATAGACCTCAAAGAAACAGTCCCTAAATGACAATTCACAAGCAAATTTATTTAACTTCTTATCTTCCTATCAATCCAAGCATCAGTCATAATAGAAATTCCATATTGAGCCTATGCATCCTTCTTAACTTCTACAGCATCCATTCATGATACTCACCACTTTTTTCAAAAAGAGGTTCTAAAAGTTCATATGGGGTTGGGGCTTTCATCTGAGGCCCAAATTGGCCAATTGCCTCTACCAAGGCATAGAAGCTGCTTAGGCGAGCGGTATTGACAGGAATGCTCGCCTCATAAAACCATGTAGCAATAAAAAAAGCAGCTCTATCTATCTCTTCCGTCTTCATTCTATTTTCAATAGTGGTTTGCTTCTTTGTTTTCTGTCTTGTGACCTCAGGATCAAGCTAGGGCAAAAAACTATCCACAAGGCCTCTAACCCGAGGCTTCTTACTCCCAGAACCAGAAGCAATTACAACTCCCTCTCGTTTCCCCCTAATAATGGATTGTTTTACTTCTTGACATCTCTCCTCATCCTCATCACTATCATCATCATCATAATCACCAAACCTAATCTCAGCTATGGAGGCAAATTTATCATCTTTTATCATTTTTACCATACTAAAAAAATTGGTAATTTCCTCTTTAATATCATCAAGAGTCTTTTTACATGGGGCAACATCCCCCCTGATACCGGCGATATGTTTCTTGAACCGTTTATGTCCCTTTTTGTATCATTCTCATAAAACTTGCATCTTATGCAATTTTTATCATTAAGATCTGTGTTGTAGCCATATTTCCAACCAGGATCACCACTCCTATTAGATCTCGAAGAAGACATCTCAAAATAATACGACTTATACAAGCAATAAAAAAAAAATCACTCATTTTGGTTGCTCAATCTCCAAACTTCTACCTCAAAGATGCTTCTAAGGACTCAAAATCTTCCAGTAGATTTATAAAACTTCACAAATTAAATCTAATATCAATGGGTGATGTTTTGATCAATTTCTCATAACTTTGAGAAACCCTTCGATCCTAAAAAAAATCACCAAACACTAGTTTGTT